AGTCCCCACCAGGATTTCAGCACTTCCTCTTTGTTACGTTCCCCTTGATCATGCCCTACCAGGTCTCCCACACCCACCTCCCCACCAATTTGGATTGCTTGTTGTTCCCTTGTCCCTGGGTTTGTTAACACCTCTTCCCTTCCCCCCAGCTCCCCCTCTCCCATGTCCCCCCATGAATTGTCAGTCCCGTTGTTTTCTCCTCCAGATTGTTCATCCAGCCTGTCCTATGGCCTTTTATAAATCTCTTTTGTCAAGGAACAGAAGTAGGATTACTGGGTAGAAAGAACAAGAAACCAAGTATAATACTGAACTTGATAAACTTTCAATAAGTGATATAATTGTTACAAATCATAGCAATTCATAATTTCTATATTTAATCACCTCCATTTAGAATTTCAGCCTGAATTAGTTCTTGTTTCAATTCTTCAATTTCTTCCTTCAGTTTTGCATTTTCAACTCGAAGTTTCTTCTCCTCTCTCAGAGTTCTCTGCAAAACTAAGTTCAACAATTCCAATTAAGATTTATTTGTTTTTAAAAAGGTTTCTTAAGAATAAAACTTGAAAAGAGTATAGCTAGTAATAAATGTTGGGCAAGTTCTTTTATGACAATTTAGTTTAGATTAAAATAACAACAATTAATAAAGAAAGAAAAAAATATATTGGTGATGTTAGTAGATAAAAAAAGTTTTGTTAGTGAAATAAGTTTTCTAACTTCTGAAAAGATGCTTGTCAATATCAAACTGGCACCTTTTCATCATTACCATAAATGGCAGAGATACACTGTTAAGTACCTGGCACAAAAGTAAAATAAATAACTAAGCAATAAAGTAATCATTATATAGCAATTCATCCAATCTCCTAAAAAACCTACTTTTCAGACCTAATAATAACACTATATAATGGAGAATTATTTTCATCTTCCTTAGTTATTTCCTCTTAAAAGACATAGAATAATCAATTATTTATAATGTCTCAGATGTTGATGTAGTCAGATTTAATGAGTAAACTAACTCAAAGATTTGTCCAAGATATCATGTGGCAAAGGTGAACAGTAGAATTTACAAAAATATAACAAGAGAGCAATGATTCATTGGAGTAGGTAGTGCTCTGCAAGTGGGATTTTAGTATATCCCACATGGATTTAGAATAGGTTTGATTATTGATTAGGCAAGTTGTGGGATGACATCAAAGACGTCATACATGAAGTAAAAGGTCATTAGAACAAGGAAAACTCTTGAACATAAAGTATCAGAACTAAATTGAAGAAATGATGAAAGTATAAAGGCTGAACAAAAGATTTTACAGAATAACTTGAATACACAAATATTACAAGGAAAGGTACAAAGACCTCAAGTCAGAAAAGCATATGGAAAAAAAACATCCTTATTATTTCTCAAAGCTAGAAGAACATAAGGGGGGTGGAACAAAGCTTGAGTTATAATATTGAGGGATTCTTAGAATAAAATATGAAAAATGTAAAAGAAAAAAAGGAATACAGAGTCACTATACCAAAATAAATATTCAACCATTTCTAGGAGTAGTATATGATCAAGAAATTATGGTACTGAAGGATCAAGTCTGAGCTGCACTGGGGGAGGCGGGGAAGGAGCGGGGATGGGACACTGAAGAATACCTAGTGAAACATTTCAACAAACAGTATACAAGTATACCAAGAAATGTGGAAGACACCAGGTCAGCTAACTGGAAAAGATCCATATTCATTCCCATCATGAAGAACTGTATCTCACAGAAAGATGAAAAGTACACCAATAACATACCCAAATAAAACTTTGTGACAATAACAGAAGAAGGTTTAGAGCAGTAAAATGGCAGAGAGGTACCAGAAATTGAAACTGAATTCAAAAGAGAATGTGGAAGAAATATCATTGCTGATTTAAGAACAGCTTTGGCTGAAGTCAGAGACAACTAAAACAATATTTACCTGTGTCTTATATTATGCAGGGGTCATTAGGGAATGTGTATCATAACAAATAATTGGTAACATTATAAAGAGTGGGAATTCCAGAATACTGAATTGTGCTCAGGCAGAACCTGTATATAGATCTTTAAAGAATTCTTATATTAGTATTACACTCAAAATATTAAAAGAATCAAAAACTTATCAACAAGATAATTTAAGAATAACCTTATATGGTAAACAGATTTGCTTTTGTTCTCTTAGTAGATACGTTTAATTAAAATATCTCCTTAGAAAATGTTAAATTTTCTTACTTGCTTTCTCCTTAAGAAGAGCCACTTGCTGCTTAAGATATTCAATAATTTGATCTGCCTCTGCCCCCTTCTGTTCCAGTCTCTGAAGAACAGCATCATTGGTTGCCATCTTTGCCAAGAATCTGCCGAAAATCCTAAATTTAAAACAAAGGTGATAAATTACATGGTAGAAGGAATACATTTCACAATACACTGTGAAAATAGCAGTCTAATAGGAAAAATACTTTCTATCATATCAGTACGTAAGAAAAAGGCAAAAGGCCCAAAGTGGATTACTTTCTACACCTGCTTGAAAGCAGAGATACAGTTCTGCATTCTTTTAAATGCAGAAATGTGGGAAACAGAAAAGTTATTCCCCAGGTTGCCCACCATAATATATGCCAAACCTAAGGTGCTGTTTGCAAGCACAAGGTCAGTGACTACACACTTGGAGGTCAACTGCTTAAAGGTTATCTGCCTGCAGGTTGTCAGCCATCTAAGGCAATCAGACCCTATTGTCTGCCCCACTCAGGGAGCCCTTCTGATAAGGATAATTGATTGCTCCTATACAGGGAGATGTAATCAACCGCTGATCGCTTTAAGGCAGCATAGCTAGTAGGGGAGAATCTGTGGGAACATTTAAAGCAGGATAAAGTACTTGGACTTTACCTCAAACTTACCAAAGTGGAGGCTTTCCTACCGTGGAATACTAGTTTTCCAGATTCCCCCTGTTATAAGTTAGGGAATACAGTCCTCATCACATTTCCCTCCGTGTTAGTTCCCCACACAGAAATGATGCTATTTAATTTCTGCTGGAAAATTTCTACACACACACACACACACACACACACACACACACACACACACCACACACGCTCTAGAATATTATAAATATTCCTGACACAAGAACAATAAGGGAATAAAATAATTGCATTAAAATATAATTACACAGGTGCTACAAGAAAAGAGCTGTTAAAATGGTTCATTATATGAAATTTTATATATTGGATAACTATAGTTTTCTCAAGTCCAAGTTACAGGGGGATACATGAATTAGGAAAAGGAAATTGATGTTATGTCAATTCTGACGCATAGCAACCACTGACGCATAACAACCACGTAAGAGAACTACTCCACAGGGGTTCCAAAATTATAAATCTTTAGAGACGCAAAAGGCAAAGTTGGTGGATCAAAGCCACCAGCTGTTGCACATAAGAATAAGGCTTTCTGCTATGAATATTTACAAATCCTCGGAAAGACTATTTAGGGTTTTTATGAGTAAAAACGGCTTACATGGCATTGGTTTTGGTTTTATCAAAGGCACAGGGATAATGGATTATTAGGAATAAGTCAAAAGAAAAAGGAGGGCTTGAGTAAGCAGTGGGAAAATGCCATGTTTCTTTTTAATTCATTTTCCCACAAACTTCTTGAAGCCCCTTCATACATTTGTCTCTTACCCAAAGACAAAAGCATGCAGTTGTGGTTAGGTGCCCTGGAGTCAGTTTGACTCACAGCGACCCTAAGCACCTTGCCTGTGCCATCCTCACAATTGTCCCCGTGCTAGGGCCCATTGTTAAAGCCACTAAGTCAATCCATCATGATGAGCGCCTTCTTCTTTTTCATTGCCCCTCTATTTTACCACGCATCAGAGACTGGTGCCTCTGGACATGTTCAAAGTATATAAGACAATGTCTTACCATCTTTGCCTCTAATGAGCACTCTGGCCATATTTCTTCCAAGACAGACTTGTTTGTTTTTGGTAGTCCAGCCCATAGTACTTTCGATACTCATCACCTGGACCAAAATTCAAGTACTCATATTCTGCTTCAGTCTTTCTTATTCAATGTCCAACTTTCACATGTTTATGAGACAACTGAAAATACTATGGCTTGGGTCAGGCACATCTTGGTCCTCAGAGTAACAGCCTTGCTTCTCAAAGGCCTTGTTCAACACATTCACCCAATGCAACATGTCTTTCTTTTACTCTCTTGACTGCTGCTTCAATGAACACTGATTGTGGATCTAAGTAAGACAAAATTCTCGACAACTTCAACCTCTTCTCCATTTATTATGAGGTTCACTATTGGTTCAGTTGTGAGGATTTTGGTCTTTACACTGAGTTGTATCCCATACTGATGGCTGGCATTGAGAACTTCATCATAAAGTGCTGTAAGTCCTCCTCACTTTAAAGAAACAAGGTTGTGTCATCTGCATATTGCAGGGTGTTAATAAGCCTTCTTCCAGATCTAATCCCAAGTCCTTCATATGATCCAGCTTCTCCAATGATTTTCTTCACACAGAGATTGAGTACTTATGTTGAGGGGATACAGCCATGCTACATACCCTTGCTAATTTTAACCCATGTACTATTTCCTTGTTCTGTTCACACAAATGCCTCTTGATCCAGGTACAAGTTCCACATCAGCACAAGGAAGTGTTTTGGAATTCCCATTCTTCTCAAGGCTAACCTTAGGATATTACAATCTACACATTCCAATGCTTTCACATTGTCAATAAAACACAAGTAAACATTTAGCAGATATTCTCTTTCAGCCAAGATCTTTCTGTCATCAGCAAAGACATCCCTTGTTCCACATCTTCTTCTGAATTTGGCCTAAACCTCTGGCAGCTCCCTGTCAATGTATTGCTGCAACTCTTGGATGATTTTCAGCAACATTTTACTGACGAGTGATTTTCATAGTTTGAGCACCTGCTGGGTCCCTTTTCTTTGGAATGAGTACAAATATGGACCTCTCCCAGTCAACTGGCCAAGTAGTAATCTTCCAAATTTCCTGGCAAAGACAAGTGAGCGCTTCCAGCTTTGTGAAACATTTCAGTGGGTATTCCATCCATTCCTGGAGTCTTGTTTTTGGCCAATGTATTCAGTGTACCTTGAACTTCTTCCTTTAGCACTTGAAGGAAGAACCTGATTCTTGCTCAATGAATCTTCTGGAATGTTGGAATGTTGACTAGTTCTTTTTGGTACAGTGATTCTGTATTCTTTTCATCTTCCTTCCACTCCCACCCCCACCCCCACCCCCACACGCAAATTTATTAGAAGTTAATCCAGACATCATGGCATTCCATAGTTAAATCATATCAAGCACTATTGTACAACTGCTACCAAAAATCATTTAAAATTTTTTTCTTCCTTTTTTAATTCCTTCATATTAATTCCCCCTTATCCTCTCAACTGTCTCACCGTACCCCTCAGCTCATAAGGGCTTCTATTATTAGTCTTCAATGTAGTAAATCTTCTTGAAACTCACTGGAGATAGACTCAAGGTCATATTTTGGCTCTTGTGGACTTGTTTTAATTTTCTTCACACCTTCAACCTGAACTGACATACAAGCAATTGATGGTCAGTTCCCGTCAGCCACTGGCCTGACATTAAGACTCTCCATTTATTATTTTTAGTGTAAAAGGTAGATAATAAAATATAGTCATGTGCTGTTTCATTCAGTATCTAATCAAATTTCTTTGATATTTTTAAATGAATCAGTTTAAAATATGTTTAAGTATACGGGGGTTCCAAAAGTTAATGGAAAAATTCCTTAAAGCTCCCTTGTACTGCCAGTTCTAATGGAAACTAATGGTCATATACTCATTTTTTACTGCATTATTTGTATGACCCTCAAGTATTAAAACTACTATTTAAATACAATAACTCTTTTAAGCAAACCTTGGGGCTCAAGTAGGTACACAAGTAGGATGAGTAAGGTATAAGTCAGAGGGCTTCAAAAATGTATATAAAATTAGTTTTCCATGAACTTTTTGAAGGGCTCTTGTATACAAGTGGCCAAGAAATGAGTGTGGAGAACAGAGAAAAGGGTCCATTTTTAGCTGTTTGAAATATTTCAAAAGAAAAATAAATACCATTTTTACGAGAATTTAATTTGGTCCTTTTTTCCCTTAACTGTCAATATAGAAATATTTTAATTCAACAACATTTTGTTGAGCATGTAGTATTACATATATTTCAGACAATGTGGTAGGCACTGCAAAATCATAATTAAGAAAGTCTCCCAGTTGAAAGCTATTTACAATCTGGAGTAGAAATAAGGTGGGAATGAAATTCTAGGAATTGGAGAGCTATAGCAGCATGTTAGAGCAGTAACATACAAATATGGGGGCTAGGGAGATGTGGGGAAAAGGAAGCAAAAGAACAGGGAAGCCTTCTGAGAGCAAACAACAGTATCTTAGAAGGAAAGACACGAGAAAGAACAGGCAGGGTGTGTTCTATATTTAAATCAATATGGGTAAAGAAGGTGGAAAGAAGAGTACAGCGTCAAATTCAAGGAAACCATTATGATTTTAAGCAGAAAGTTATGGGACTAGGTTTTCAATTCACAAATATGACTGGCTATAAAGTGGAAGCAAGGGTGAGTCCGGGAAAAGAAGGCAAAATAAAGTGATTTCTCAAGGGTTAGTTTAGAAGCATTGAGATGTCTGTGAAAAAGAGGTGCATAGTACTGAGATTAGGGGAAGATGGAGTAGATTCAGAGAGGAAATGATAATGAATATGGAAATATTTAGTTTCAAGTATCCACAGTATTAGAAATTCTAATAAATCAGAGTTGACTTGATGGCAATAGTTTGATTTTGTGTAATAACGTGCGTATTAAAAAAATCAAGCAGGAATTAATTATTACTTATGGAACTATTATAGCCCTTCAAAATTTGAGTTCTAGGCAGGAATTAAAAAATAAAAGCTTTGAGATGCAAGTTCTGGAGCTATTAATTAAAACAGTTCTCCTTCATTAAGCTACCACAAGAAACTAGTTAATCTAGGAAACTAACAACAATCTAGTAATATCATATCACACTTTTTGAAGTCCAATTCCCTAAGCGAAGTACTATTAGCAAGCATTCCAATAAAATCACTTTAAATCATTTCAGGTTTTAATTGCCCTTACCCTCCTACAGATCCCTTGTCACAGTGTGGGGTAAGTATGGGGCAGCTAACCACAGAGGAAGCAACTAAAACCCATCAGCAGCCACCACTGAGAAAAAGGAGGATCTCAGCTCCCATCAAGATTTAGTCTGAAACCCTAAGAAGCAATTCTACTCTGTCCTATTGGGTCACTGTGAGTCAAAACCAAATCAGGGGCAGTGAGTTTTATTCCTTCTGTTATTCTCTCTTGATTTCCTTTCTGCCATGATTTGTTTTCATTCTCTTATTCTTCGAGGTACATCTTAACCAATGGAACCAGAAGATCTTACTAATTACAATAGCATACAGTGGTGAGCACTTTTACTACGTGCTACATACAATGCTAAATGTTTGCTGTGTGTTGTTTCATTATTAACACAGTGGCTGCAACAGTGGGTTCAAGCATAGCAAGAGCTATGAGGGTAGTACATAACTGGGCAATATTTTGTTCTGTTGCACATAATGTCACTAGGATTTGGACCTAACTCAAGGGCAGCTAAAAAAATACAATCTCCTTTAATCCTCAAAACTCTGGTGTTATATTATTATGGTGTTATATTATTAACCACATTTAAGATAGATATTGAGGTTGACTAATCAAATAACTTGTCCTGTGTGAACACTCCTGGTTAATAAAATCTGGCTCTACCTGACTCAAAAGTACATTTCTTTAACCAAAAGGACACTGATTACAATAATTGTGAACTACCAATCAGACTACTTCACCTACTGGCTTTAAAATCCATACCCTTTTTTTTTTTTTTGCTTGTTTTTAAGTTTAGAGACAACTAGAATACTTTTAAAATGTATAATTCTTAATTAAATCTTTTTTTAACATATATTCCAAAAGACTGAAAAATCAAATAACCAATACGCTCAATTGTCTGCAAATATATCTTATTTTTCAGGTTCTGCTGTTTTAGGTACAAGAGACCCCCAATCTCAAATATAATGTAAGGAGAACATTTATTAAGTCTTAAAGGGGCACAGACAACACACAGACAGACACATCATACACCATCCGGATGAGGGAGGCCCTTAGCACGAGGTTAAAATGTCATCCAAGGGTTTGCTGAGATACAAACTTTGATAAGGGCATGGAGGGAGCAAAATAACTGTCACAAAGGCATGATGGGGGGCAGATCAATACATCACAGTTGCAGGTGGGACTACAGAATCAGGAATGGGACCGTGTTTGGGACACATACATTGTTAGATGGGCTAACAAGATTGGTCCAGGGCCCTCTGACCAAGGCAGTCAGGGTGAGACTGGTGGGGCATGACTCATGACTATGTGATTTCTGTATAGTCCCCATTAAGGTGACCTCTGCCAAGTACACACTCAGGAAAGCCTCTAAGAGACTGCGCCTCCCTAAATTGTTTGGTGGAGAAAGGTGGAGGTAGTTTACCTCCTCAGGCACTTAGCCTGAGGGCAAGATTATCTACGTATTTGGTTATTGATTTGGAAGAGTTCAGTAGAGGAGGGCAAGATTATCCACATCCTAAGTGACTGATCTGAAAGAGTTCGGAGGCATCATCTATGCGGTGTCTCTGCAAATGGAAAATGATCACTGCCATCCACAGCCTTCTGCAAACTGCAGTGGTCAGAATTTAAGCTCTAATATACCTCAAGGTAATTTTACCAACAATTCTTGATTTTGTACCATGTACCATGCAGGGTAAAGAACAAAAATAAACATAATGTTTGCACTCCTTGAACTTACAGACTACTGTGAGAAATTGACAGTAACTTAAAAGAAAAATTTCCCGATAGGATCGCTGAAGACAAAAGGGCGCATAAGCAAAAGTGGTGAAGAAAGTTGATGGTGCCCGGCTATCAAAAGATATAATGTCTGGGGTCTTAAAGGCCTGAAAGTAAACAGGCAGCCATCTACCTCAGAAGCAACAAAGCCCACATGGAAGAAGCACACCAGCCTGTATGATCACAAGGTGTCAAAGGGATGAGGTATCAGGCATCAAAGAACAAAAAAATCAAATCATTGTGAATGAGGGGAAGTACAGATTGAGAACCCATCAGTACTCAACTGGACATCCCCTTACAGAAGGGTTGTGGGGAGGAGACAAGCCAGTCAGGGTGCAGTGTAGCAATGACGAAACATACAACTTTCCTCTAATTCTTAAATGCTCCCTTCGTCCCTCCCCCCACTATCATGATCCCAATTCTACCTTACAAATCTGGGTAGACCACAGGATGTACACTGGCACAAATAGGAACTGGAAACACAGGGAATACAGGACAGATGATCCCTTCAGGACCAGTGGTGAGAGTTAAGATACAGGGATGGTGGAGGGAGGGTGGGGTGGAAAGGGGGAACAGATTACAAGGATCTACATATACACTCCTCCCAAGGGGATGGACAACAGAAAGGTGGGTGAAGGGAGTGGGTAAGATATGACAAAATAATAATAATTTATAAATTATCAAGGGTCCATGAGGGAGGGGGGAGGGGCGGGAAGGGAAAAAATGAGGAGCTGATACCAAGGGCTCAAGTAGAAAGCAAATGTTTTGGGAATGAGGATGGCAACAAATGTACAAATGTGCTTGACACAATGGATGGATGTATGGATTGTGATAAGAGTTGTATGAGCCCCCAATAAAATGATTTTAAAAAACAAAGAAAAAGAATTCCAAAAAAAATCCAAACTTTTAACGTGAAGCTATGTTCTGCGTGACTCAGATTGTTGGTAACAACACTATTCGCCGTTCAGACAAATCTTTTACCATTTAAACCACAGCGCACATTACTCTTGGGAACTACTTACTGCTCTATCATTAAAGTTTTACAATGAATGCAAACTAAATTCAATCGTCACACAGGGCCTTTCCTCGGAGATGCCGATCGGTTTGATCCTCCCACCTTTAGGTTAGCAGAGGAATGCATACCCATTGCATCATACTGGGCGTTCAGTAAAAATGTAATTAAATGAAATCTCGGTCCCACCTCAAGTTCTGAAATGAGATATTCACAGGAAAGGAAACAGGCTTGTAAACGATCTTTCCCCGTAGCACCCTTTCCCTGGGACTCCGCATCTAACTTTCAAACTCGGCTGCTCCAGAAAGTTCCAAGTGATTCCCTCTTTCCTCACTCCGATTTTGCTGGGGAGAGCAGATTTCCCATTAGCCCGGGTACACCTTGTTCTCTCTTCTCAGGGGTGATTAATGGGACACAATCAGTTACGGTCACAATCAACCTCCTCTCTTCTTTCTAGGGACAGCACTCACATGAAGCGACGGACCACACACTCCAGATGGCCTCTGTCTCTCCTCGCTGGTACAGCCTCTTCCCACAGGAAGGCAAGGAGGAAGAACCCAAAGGGCTGCCCTCCTTAAATGCCTGAGCGACGCACACATTTAACTCCAAATTCGGTCGCCCGATTCGTCTCTACAGATCTGTAAACCAACCACATCACGCTCGCCATCGCCCATTACTACACTCTGGACATCCCTTGTCATTTCTCTTTAGCTGGTCCATTTTGTTGCCGTTCTGGCAGGCGACAGTGTGCCGGAAGTCGGGGACTTCCTTCAGGCTTTGTCGCGGCGCTGTGAAGTCAACCATCACTGCCGGGCTGAGCGTCGGCGCAGGGCGGGGTTGAGCAGCGTGGGAACTGTCAGTGGCGAGCCGGGCTCAGTGCGCTGGGCCAGGTTCCGAGCCAGCTGGTCCCGGGACTTCGTTTTCCCGCCCGGCGCTGTCTGAGCGCGGCCAGACGGCGGGAGTGCGCACTCTGGGCGAAGATCCTTAAATGCAGGGACTGGTGCACTAAGCAGAAGCCGCCACGCCAGAAGCAGCAGTAGTGGCCGGGTCCGGGTAGAAGCTTTATTCCTCTTGTCCGCCTGCCAGCATCCCCAGATTCAGAGGCAGGTACTCGGGTATCCTAGTTTTCTGTCACAGGGGGTGTGGCTAATGGGAAATACATTTACAGTACTTGAGGTGCAGGGACTTCATGCTCATGGTGAGAACCACACAAGGCTGTGAAGCTTCTTGCTGCTGGGCACCGTCTTCATCCCAACTACCACTCTCCCCTCCCTTATCACACATTTACCTTGGTCCTCTGAGTGCTGTAGACAACTCACCGAAAGGGAACACTAAACTACTGATTCAAAGGAAGCACTTCAAACTGCTGCTTCAAAGTGAACACTGAACTACTGCTGGAAGCCTTTAAAAGTAGAGGTTCGGCCTTGCGGACTCTACTCTTCCATCACTCATCAGTTGATCACCTTGCACTGTCTTGCTTTGCTTAGTTGTTCCTGGTTTGCAAAGTTTTGTCAGTTTCGAATTCCTCTGTGCAGTGGGAGGAAGCCGAAAAAGTAGAAGGAAGTTACCTTAGGATTGTCAGTGGTTGCTTTTTAAGGCCTCTCATTCCTGTTTATCTCTACCAGAAAAGGTCAACTTTTTGAGGGAAGAGTATATAAAATAGATTCACTAGAGATCTGCTGGTTTGAGGAAGTAGATCACAAGACCTTTGTTCCCAGGGGATTGTGGGAGAACTCAACCTCTAGTCTTTTGGTTAGTAACCTAGTAAGTTTATTATGCTTGTTGGATGAATTTTATTCCCAACCTAACCTCTTACTTCATCTGCTCCCTTGACCCCATCCCATGAGCTTCCTTCCATTCACTGTGTGTCATCTGTAAGTATGTCTGTGTATTTTGAGGCAAGCCTTTGTATGTGCACAGATCTAAGAGGTAGCTGAAACTGAATACTGTACTAGTCTATGCTAATGTAGTGCTTTGTTCCTTTGAAATCTGTGCATCTTACTTATTTGGTTCTTTTGGTTGTTGGTTTTATAAATAATAAGCCATCAAATCCATTGACATCAAGTTGATTCCAATTCTTGGCAACCTGGTAAGGACAGAGTAAAACTGCCCCGCAGAGCATCCAAGGGTGTATGCAAATCCTTATGAAAGCAGACTGTCTCATTGTTCTCCCTCAGAGTGGCTAGTGAGTTCAAACCACCAAACTTATTAGCAACAGGCTGCTTTAAACACCGTGCCACCAAGGCTCCTCATCTACATAATAGAAGCATATAATTGAAATTTGATTCATATACTGTGGTCGGATTGCATAATAAATGTTATTATCATTCATTGTTTCAGCCAGTCATAGCTTTGAAAACCCTATGCAGCATACACAAGGTCACCATGAGTTGGGATCAACTTGAAGACAGTTAACAACATAATAACTCACACCACCTACAACCTCCATCTGTCTCCAAAAGCTGGAATAATTATTATCACAGTTTGGTTTTCACATTGGTTGCTCTTATATTTCTAAATAATAGCTATAAACTCTGCTTCTTTTCACTTCAAATTTTGAAACATACTTGGGTTCCTTATATGGTTTAAAGAGAACAAAGTGAATCAACCTTTTTTCTGCTTCCCCTAAAATCACATCCACCCTACTTTCCCTTAGCTGAAACTTGACTTCTACCTTATCAAGGTTGTTCATATTTATATTTGTTACGGATTAATAGTGATGCCTAATGTTATGTGTTAAGTCAGTGTGATTTCACATTGATTTAGAGCTAGTTTCTTAATTTCTGTGCTTTCCCATTATACAACTCAGGGGAGCTGTTTACTCTGTAGTTCATGAAAGTAGGCAGACCCCTCAAATTCTACACATGGAACATCTATGTATAAACTAGATACAAAAATCTATCAGGATTGTTGAGAGGCTTAAAGATGATTGAATATATAAAGCGCACTGAAAATGCAATGCTCTTTCATTTCCTTTTTATGCCGTTGAAGATCTTTAGAATTGATTTGGAACTTCAACATTTATGCTTGTGTTTTTTTCTACTTTGATATTATCATAGAACTTTTAGCTTGGCTATTTTTTACTGTGTTCACATTGTTATTTCCTTCCAAGCCGAATTTTATTAATCATGTTTAAGTGATAAAGCAATCGTGTTTATGGTGATAAAAACTGGTTTAATGTTTGGTGGATTGCTTGTAAAGTTCATTTTTTCCCCTCCTAGGTAGTTCTAGAAGATTTGGGACTGAAAATGTTTCCCTTGAAGGATGCTGAAATGGGCGCCTTCACCTTCTTTGCTTCAGCCTTGCCACATGATGTTTGTGGCAGCAATGGACTTCCTCTCACACCAAATTCCATTAAAATTTTAGGACGCTTTCAAATCCTTAAGACCATTACCCACCCCAGACTGTGCCAGTATGTGGATATTTCTAGGGGAAAACATGGTGAGTTTTTTCACTGTTGTTGCTTGTTTGTATTTCTTATCTTACATTCTCTACTCTGTTACCCCTATTAACTTATAAACATAGTAAAAATATAAAAGAAATCTGTCTATACTTGCAATCACTTACTCCATGTCTTTCACTCTGTCACTTGACAATTTACTTGTAAATCTGCCAGATAAAATTCAAACTTCCTACCCAAGTATTGCAAGCAAGATCCATCATGATCTAGTCTTTCCTGACCTGTCTAAGTGTATTTCTTATTAATTCTGTTGCTTTCACCACTTATGCAACCATACTTAGTCACTTGTTTTCTTGACTATACTTTATGACTTTTCAAATAGCCTATCTTTTATACTTTAGTATTTTCTCCCTGGGATCAAACTCTCCCTTCCTGTTACTCCTTCCCAAGTAAACCTCTGCTCTTCTTTCATTCAAATCTCACTTTCTTTGTCACTTCCTGTTGTTTTGCTCAAATCTGAGCTTAGCTTCTTTCAGGGAAGACTGTGTAGCTTGTATGATTATTTTACTATTATTTTCTACTTAGTATATCAAGGATTTTAAGTTCTTGAGGCTAAGGATGAAATGCTTTTTTGTATCTAATCTCAGAAGCCATACTGAATCTGGCACACAGAAGACCCTCAATAAATGTTTGTTAAGTGAATGTATGTCTGAATCTATGAATGACTGCATTTGAGGGCTTAATGTTTCACAGATCTGAGAATCTTTTAACGATGATTTTTGTAAGTTTCATTCCAGCCAGACTTTCATTTCTTAAAATTGTTTAAAGTGCCTTTTAGTGAAAATGTATTTAAAATTTCTAATATAAAGTTATGTGGAAATATAAAAGATATGCCATCAGTGAAGATGTACGCTATATAATTACCGATACTGAACTGGTTTTTTTCCTATGAAAATGGCAGCTTATGTTTTTGAAAGTGAGTTAAACACACTCAAGAAAAAAGCAAGCATGCTGTATTTTGTTCTGTTGGAACATATGTTAAACTATGTTTGCAAGTATTCTGCATAACTCCTTTTGAAAAGAGTTATTCTGAGAATAGTATTTTCTTAATTTCAGTAAAAATAATATTTTGTAGTGTTATTATTCCCCAAAAAACATACTCCTTGCCACTGAATCAATTCTGATCAACCCTACAGAGTATGGGAGAACTGCCCCTTTGAGTTTCGAAGACTGAGAAGAGTAGAAGGCCCTATCTTTCTCTCATGGAACAACTTGTGGTTTTGAACTGTTGGCCTAGCAGATTGCCGTCCAACACATAATCACTATACCACCAGGGGTTATTTATTTATTTTTCTTGAAGTGGTGAGGTTAAACAATAATAATATAAATATAAAAATACAATAAGTAAGAAAAAAGGACTACTGTCGATATTTTAAAAGCTTGGGAAGAAGTTTTTGTTATAGAACAAGCAAGAAATCCTTGCACCTAAAACAAATTCAGGTTGGGTTTAGAGGGAGGTCAACTAACCAAATAGCAAGTTTGATCCAGCATAATCAGGATTACAGTGATCTATGTTTGATAGTAAGGCTATCCCAGACCGTTGCCTGTGGCTGGAAGGGATCTGCCAGCATCCTAATCTGACTAGATATCCTGCAGATGGGTTTTGGGTCCCCACTGCTCTCCACAGCCTTCCATAAATTGGGTGTTCAATATTTTAGCTCTGATACTTTTCCCTTCATCATATTTGAATTTTATTATTGTCATCATTGGATCACATAAGCTGTGCTTCTTCTGTGTGGGTTTCGTTGACTCCTTGCTTATATGGCTGCTTGTTTTAATATAAGCCTTTAAGATCACAGACACTAGATCTTTTGATAGCCGGGCACCATCTGCTTTTTTCACCACATTTTGCTGTAACACCCTTAGCTTCAGTAATCATTTCATGCAGGTGAGTATTGAGCAGGGTCATGTTATCAGAACTAACTGTTCTTGGATTGGGGCTAGAGTTCAGTACCACCAAAGCTCTTTAGGCCTAGATCAGATATACTCTAATATGACTATAAATAGTATAACTATGTACTATAAATAGTGCAGTACTTGTAACTATCAGGAATTCACATGGAGGAGGGTTTGGTTCTTTCTAAAACACGGCTGTTGCTAGACAAAGTGCTGTAGTAGCAAAGCATGGACCATGTGTAACCACCACATCACCAGGGCTCGTTTATTATAATTAATATGTATTGAGTGTTTATTATGTGTCAGCACTATTCAAATGCTGGTATGCTTTATTAGCTTAATCCTCGCACCATTACTAGGGGATAGGAACTATTATTCTTATTTTGTAGATAAGAAAGTTGAGCACAAAGCAATTAAGTACCTCATGTTTTGTCATTTTTCTGAAATCTTTTGAAAGCTTCTATGACAATGGAAATGTAGTATCCTTTTGCCAATTAGAGTTATTACTTCCCATTTGGGACTCTATCCCATACATGGAAGCTTCAAAAATTTTGTAGAGAAATGTCACTAAAAGATAATGGAAGATAAGTTTATTGTAAAATTCTACTATCTTTCTTTTTGAAAAAAAATATTATTAACTGTGAGCTAATATATACATATTATTATATAGTTCAATCACGTCAAGCAGAATTGTACAATTGCTACGAGAATCAATTTCCCAACTTTCTTTTTCTTCCTGGACTCCTTGATATTCATTTCCCTGTTACTCTCCCCCAACACTCTACCTCCCCTCCCCAAAACCCTTATTCTACTTGCTATATCTATAGGTTCATTAGTCCTGGGTTTCATATATTGGAAAACAGAAAAACATGTAACACAGTTTCAGGAGAGTGACCCAGAATGATATACTACCTCTGAGACAAACCCTAAAATGAACAAACCAAATCAAAACAATGCAGAAAATGTTGAAAACCAAATCTTTCTATTTCATGTTCTATGAACTTTTTGAAGCTTCTGCATACACACATACCATTAGGAGGCATAATGAGAGACGTGACAGAGGGTCATAAAAAAGAGGTGATCCTCCTACAGATAATACAAATGCTTCATTTTTTTTCATACATGAACGCACACTGTATATAGAGATATACAGATATATAGACATAAAGAAGTATGCATTATTCTAGTGCAACATCTCTTACTGTGCAAGATTGTCTTTGATTGATCCAGTCAGCAAATGCTAGTAAATGCCTATCAAGTTGGGCCTAACTTTTCAAGGAAAACCATAGATAGGGTCATATTGAGATTCTTAAGGATCTCTCTCTCCCTCTACAGGGGTCAAATGAGAAGCCTAGCTAATAGAAACCTGAATTTGAAGCAAAACTATAAAGACAGGGATGAGTTGAATAACTGTTTGAGAACCATTCTTGTCAGCTGTGACATTTCTTAACGTGTACCTTGGTATATATTACCTGCCAATGGTATTATGACACTTAAATAGAATTGTGCTAGATATTATGTTCCTCCAATGCTAGATGCCAGTTACAAAAAGATGGGTAAGACAGGCTCCCGATTTCTAAGTCAGTTCCAGAAATATTAGAAAAGTACAAGTGTGATTATAACAGAATAATAGTTGTTATAGGCAGTGGTATGCAACATGCTATAAAAATGCAAAGACAGTGACATTCTGCATAGGAGAGTGTTTATCTCAACTTAGTTCCTGTGTAAACCTTCTTGTAGAATACGTGAATTTTGACCACAGAGGAGTGATTCTACTTTCAGGAAAATTTTATTTCCTAACATTTATTTATTTTAATGACACAAGTAGCCTAAAAGGATTCATCGGTTTTCAGAAGATATTCTGACCTTTATTTCGGACATATTCTAAAGAAACAAAATCTTAATATTATTTATGAATTAATTCTCCTTTTTTTAAAATAAAGGGACACTTCTTAGTTAATTCTAATCTTTTTTATATTCCTCCAAACATTTGAGACAAGTCATAGACAATTATATGAAGAGTATATGAATAGATAATATATTAATACATAATTAATATCTTAATATATTCTAGCAAATTTATATTAAGATATAAAATTAGTGATATTAACTAAGACATAGTTTCTCAGATGGATTATGATGTTTGTTGGTCAAGGCAAAGCAGGAAATGTGCTTCAAATTACTCTTATAATGAGGCAGTGTATTATAAGAAATTAACTATTAGTTATTTGCACAAATATGGGGAAATGTTCGGTTGTAAGATTTATAATGCTCATAAGATCTGTTGTCAAGGTATGTGTGGAGACACTAATGTGGAAATGTCTTTGTCACAAGGATCTGAGATGTCTTACAGCTGTTCTTATGGGCAATGGAGCTTTCCCTTACACATCTGTGGTTCCTCTGGCCAATTTCTCCTAGGTCT